GCCCTCTGACTCTGTCCTCCCCACCCCTACCCTGCCATGACCTCCTCACAAGGCCCTCTGACTCTGTCCTCCCCACCCCTACCCTGCCAAGACCTCCTCACAAGGCCCTCTGACTCAACCCTCAACTCCAAACAATGGGGTTCTGGCTATTTAAACACCCAGATGCCCATAATTAAGCTTATTACAGTCAGGTGCAGCGGCACACACTTGCAATCCTAATACCCAGGAGGTGAATCAGGAGGGGCAGTCAGTTCAAGGACAACCTAACTATATAGTAAGTCCAAGGCTACCCTGAGTCACATGAGAACCTGTCTCTAAATAAATAAATAAATAAATAAATAAATAAATAGCTGTCATCATGACTCACTGGGTAGTGGCACTTGATGCCAAATTTGACAACTTGGGTTTGATCCCCAGAACCCATTTGGTGGAAGGAGAGACCCAGTTCCCACAAATTGTCCTCTGACCTCCACACATGCGATTTGACACAGGCGTGCCCATACACATGTCCACACAATAAATAACTAAATAAATGTGGGTCTTTTATTAAGCTTATTGGAGAATGGGGACTTCTCTGTTTTATTCATTTATAGGCTTTTATATCATTATAGCTGTTCTTCTAGGACTAAGTCAACTGGTTTCTAAAACAGGTCCCTTCAAACCTATCCCTGCAGGCTTCACAGAGAAGCCAAGTAAAGGAGATCTGGCAGTCCCCCTTTGCCTCTAGGCAGCACATTCAAATGCCTCTTGAGCCACTTCTGGCCCCGGATGCTATTGCTGATGATCAGAGCAGCTCTGGGAAGCAAAGCGACCAGAGAGAAATTATCATCTCCTATGCTGAGCTAACACATCCCACAGTACTACTATCTGAGGGAGGAAGACCCTACTTCAGTGAAGACAGAACTGTGGTACTGTAAGCCTAGTCAAATCCATGACTGAGGGGGTCTGAACCCCTAAGGGGGAAACTAAATTGGCATGGACCCAAACCGCCTTGCAAGTATTTGTGTTTATATTCACAAACGCTACTCTTGGCCTTACTCAAAGAAACACCTCGTTGCAATGAACAGCAGTGAATGCAGAGACCCGTGACCTGCTCAAGTGCTGAGAGCAGGTGATGATTGAGTGCTCAGCTTGAAACAGGACATCTACATCACCCCTTCTAAGGCTCAGGGAACGTGGAGGAAGAGTTGGAAAGACTATAAAAACTGGAAGATATGAAGGGCTGCAAAAATGCCCTCTTCAGAGCAGGCACAGCCATCGCGACCATGATCACAGAGCAGCCGTGACTGCCGCCTCCACGGGATCTGCACAAGACTGGGCCTCTCAGTAGTCAATCACGGATCAGAGAGGGGCCCATGGAACCCCACCCCTGCCTGGTGAACTGCTGGCAACTGGTGAATTCTGGGGGGAGAGCAGGCACTGGCTGCCATTGCGTTCTCACAGGTGAGCCCATCAGGCTCCACTGGACAGTTTCAAACCCATATTCCTACAGACAGCCCTGGTTAAGCTCAGTGGGTTCCAGAACACCAGAAAGAGACAACATGGGAGAAACGGATTCGTAGGGAAGGGTGGGAGGTATCCACAAGGATGGGAGGGAAATAGGGCAGGGGTGAGAGACAGCAGAATATATTATGTAGAGACATGAAATCATCCAAGAACAAGTTTAATAAAAAGTATTTTAAAAAAATTTGGTGGCTGAGAGATGGTTCAAGGGTTAAGAGCACTGGCTGTTCTTCCAGAGGACCTGGGTTCAACTCCCAGCACCCAAATGGTGGCTCAGAACATCTTTAACTCCAGTTCCAGGGAATCTGACACCTTCTTCTGGTTTCCTCAAGTACCAGGCATGCCAGTGGTACACAGACAGACAGACAGACAGAGCATCCACACGTAATTTTTTTTTTTTTTTTTTTTTTTTTTAGCTTTTAAAAGCTCACTCATGAGCATGGTAGATTAACTTATAATCCAGCACTAAGGAAGCTGTGGTGGGAAGATCAAAATGAGTTAGTCCACAGCCTGGCTAGCCTTGGCTACATAACAAGAGCTAGTTTCCAAAAAAATCAAGACATTCAGTGTTCATAATAAGAGAAGTATAGCTTAAAACACATTGTAAAGGTAACTACAACAAAAACAATGTTTTCATCAAACCTTAAAATTAGATCGGTGATCGCATGAATTTGGTGGCGAGAAGACCCACACACAAGACCTAAAATAAAATTTTTTTTCATTCTTTTTGTGTGTATGAATGTTTCACCTGAATGTATGTGCACCATGTACATGCCCAGTACATGCCTAGTGTCTGCAGAGGTCAGAAGAGGATGGTGGATGCTCAGGAGCCACCATGTAGAGGCTGGGAATGAAATCACCATCCTCTGGAAGAGCAGCAAGTGCTCTTAACCACTGATCCATATCTCCAGCCCACATCAAATGTTTCTGGAAGACTTGGAGAGATGGCTGAGAGGTTAAGAGCACTCTGCTCTTCCAGAGGACCCAGATCTGGTCTCAGCACACAGGTCAGGCAGCTCATTAGATATGTGACTCCAGTTCTGGGGACTGGGCCGCTCTTCTGATCTCTGAGGGCTCCTGGTGCATGCACATGGCATGATACATACATTCAGACATATACACATATGCACAAAATAAAATATATAAATTTTAAAAGTATTTCAAAAAATTTAAAAAAATATTTATTTTTTCCTTTTTTTTTTTTTTTGGTTTTT